TCTTGCCGCTCTCGTTTTCTTTATGAATCATTCTGTCCTTTATTCTTGTATTTAAGGGAACTAGTTATGTCTCACATTTACCTTTACCATTTTCTTATCTACCCAACACACCTAAGAAGAATATGTATGTATGTATACATATGTACATAATAATATATACAACATACATAACATATGCATGTATGTATATGTGTGTATATATGTATTTATGTCTACATATGTGTATATATACCATGTGAAACAAATTTATATATGTGAATTTCTAGACATGTTATGATTTTGGGATTAGATATTTTACATTTATACATTTGTCAACCTACTGGACTGTAGTAAGTTCACTGAGGAAAAGAAGAAAAAAAAACCATGACATCCTCTTCTTGGAACATCAGTGCCTACCAAGACATCTGTTTCTCAGTAAATGTTGGGTATCAATGCTGATCAATGTTAAAAAATACCCGTGAGCATTGTTACTCCACTACTGAGAGCCAAAGATGCCATGCTGCGCTCTATCGTTTTAGAAAGACCACAGACAATTAGATGGGAAAAGGGAGGCAATGTCTTGCTAGGATCCTGTGTATGCCTCCAGGCAGATGAGCAGCCCTTTTCCTAGGGAAATGCGTGGCAGGCTTCACGTAAGAGGTTCCCTCAATAACCAAACACTCCATTCAAAGGTTATATTTACACAGCTCATTAGGAAGATTTTTTAATACTTTTGACACTCATTAGACTCATAATCGTCCACTGAAGCTACTGCATAACAAGAGATAAACACTCCATTCTAGAGGATGAATAATTAGGTACTGCTCAGCGCTGCGCTCTTTACACGTCTAATTTTAGAGCATAATTAATCCTGTTGAAGCTGCATACGATAAGTGAAATATTTATGCAGCTGTGTTAATTCATGTATTTACTCCTAGAGAACATTCAGAATTGGTCATGGCTTTCCGGGAAGATATCTGAAGACACCCCCAGAGCAAATGGCATTTTCTCTCCCAAGTCTTTGCCTCCAGATGGCCTCTAGAGATTAAGCTGAAAAGACATATTTCTTAAATCCAACAGTCTGACCAGGAAGGCAATGAGCCAGAACAGAAAATATCTATGAGAACCTAGATGTTCTATAAGTATATGAACAAACCCCTGGCCTATCTAAATGCTTTTACTGTTCATTTTTATTTGATGCAAAGAAGACCTTTTCTCTTTGGCACAACAAAAGTTCTTTCTGTGTTACTAACTCGACTATATTATTGCCAATGCAATACTAAAGAAGTTGTATTTGATACTAGAGTTGTGCACAGGCAACTATGATGATGAGAAAGAGAAGGATGAAGAGGGGGAAGAGGGTTGTGGTGATGGCCATGATCATGGTGGTGACGATGGTCTTAATGAAGATGATGGCACTGGTCATGTTGATGATGATGATGATAATAATCATGATTGATGGTGATGATCATGGTGATGGTGGTGATGATGATGATTATAATGATAATGATGATATCAGAGGCGTATGAATCATGGCAACTCCATCTTAAATAAGAGCTGGGTAAAATGAGGCTGAGACCTACTGGGCTGCATTCCCAGGTGGTCAAGGCATTCTAAGTCACAAGATGAGATAAAAGACCAGCACAAGATACAGGTCATAAAGACCTTGCTGATAAAACAGGTTGCAGTAAAGCTGGCCAAAATCCACCAAAACCAAGATGGCCATGAGAGTGACCTCTGGTCGTCCACACTGCTACACTCCCACCAGCGCCATGACAGTTTACAAATACCATGGCAACATCAGGAAGTTACCCTCTATTGTCTAAAAAGGGGCACTTGTTTAGCATGTCATCAAGAAATAACCATAAAAATGGATAACCAGCAGCCCTTGAAGCTGCTCTATCTATGAAGCAGTCATTCTTTTATTCCTTTACTTTCTTAATGAACTTGCTTTGACTTCACTCCACGGATCTGCCCTGAATCCTTTCTTGTGCGAGATCCCAGAACCCTCTCTTGAGGTCTGGAGCAGGACCCCTTTTCTGTAACAATGATGGTGATGGCTAACGTTTATTGAACCACTTGTGTGTTCCAGGGTCTATGCTAAGTTATGTACTTTTTTTTTTTCTTGAAACGGAGTCTCACTCTGTTGCCAGGCTGGAGTGCAGTGGAGCGATCTCAGCTCACTGCAACCTCTACCTCCCGGATTTAAGTGACTCTCCTGCCTTAGCCTATCGATTAGCTGGGACTACAGGCATGCACCACCACGCTCGGCTAATATTTCTATTTTTTTAGTAGAGATGGGGTTTCAACATGTTGGCCAGGATGGTCTCGATCTCTTGACCTCATGATCCGCCCGCTTTGGCCTACCAAAGTGCTGGGATTACAGGCATAAGCCAACGTGCCCAGCCTAAGCTAGGCACTTTACATGTATTTTCTCATTTCATCTTCACACCAACCTCATTAGGTAAATATTTCTGTACCCTTTTACAGATGAGTAAACTGAGGCTAAGAAAGATCACTTCTTTCATAGAAATATTTTAAGTGGGACAGTAGACCTAGTTCAGATGTACACTAAATTACTCCTTCCTAAAGGATTTATAAATCTCAAGAGTTTAATTAGTCATCTTTGATAGATAGCTTAGAGAATTAAATGTAGTAACAGTCGTTCCTAATTGGCCCCCTTCCAGAGTAATGTCCCTGAAGTAGAATCTTTGCCACTTACTAGCTAAGGGACTTGCCCTCTGAGATTCAGTTGCCTCCTCTGAAAAGTGGGAATAAGCAACATTTGACGTCATAAGGTTAGGAAGGTTACATTGAGGAACATATGTAATGCATCCAGTATGGTAATTGATATATCCAAATCCCTAAATATGTTAGTTGTTTTACAATAGATGTTTTGAGAGTAACACCAATGGTAGGCGGGGCTAGAGTTAGAACTCAGGTATTTGACAGATGCCTATCACATTTAAAAATTTCCTGCCAAAAGAAATACATCTTAACATCAACCATTCATCCATACACATATTTATTCATTCCCTTCATTGACCAATTACCTGCGAAGTTCAGCGTTTTGTTGTGTAAATGCTGGAAATAAGACTCCTGTTTACCGAGTAGTTCACCCCTTGTAGGTCCTAGCCAGCCCTGTGATAGGCAAAACATTGGGCCCCAATTCTTCAGTGTACTCTCAGTGTTCACACCTTTGCCATAAAACTTCAAAACCTATCTCATGAAAGGCAAAGTATACCTGCAATCCCTTGACCATGAACTTGGCCACCTGACTTGATTTGGACCGAAGGATGTTAGCAGACATAAACGTGACCAAGCAGCAGCTTGAAATGTGCACATGCAGTTAGGTGTTCCTTTCCGTGCTTCTGACATAGCCAGTAAAAGAGCCTCCCTAGGTAGCTGCTACCCTTTCAGACTGAAACACAGAATAAACACATGTGGAGCAAAGGCCACACCGCTAATTCATGTGCTTCTAGCAGGAAGCAGAGGCACTATCCCCACCCCAGGCTGAGGCCCAGCTTGTCCACTCAACACGCGCTACCATAAGCAAAACAAATGCTTATTGTTTCATGCCTCTGAGATTTTGCAGCAAAAAGCTGACCAACACAGCCACAAATCATTATTACACAGCAGAGAACATGGCCAGTGATCTGAGAAAGGTATAAATGCCCAATGGGAAGTTCAAAGATTCAGATGTTCTTATTTGGGAGTTAAATATAAAACACATTTAAAATGCTTGATGGCACTGTGAGAATTTAGGGTTTAATTCTGTGAATAAAAAGAAGATAAGAAGCCACAAGGAATTAGGCGCTTCATTCAAATTCATATCAACCCTGTGCACTAACTAACCTCGGCCTATTTTGATATTGCATTTCACCGTAGCAGTAACTAGATTTTTTTCTCCCACCTCTAGCCAGGCATAGCACATTCTGTAACCATCTCTGAATATAGACTCCACCTATTTGAATGGGGCTTCTGCGCTATGGTCTGAGCCTTCCTATCCTCCTCATACTGAGCTCATTTTTGGTGTTAACCTGCTATCTGAGCTGACTTTTCTTTTCCTATTTCCTCAGTGTTAGCAATTAAAAGGAAACCAACCTGCCATTCCAAACCATGGCCAGCCTCTAAAGGCCATGCCAGGAAACTTCAGGCTATAGTGAGATCGCCAGCTATAAAGTAGAAAGGGCAGACAGGAGGAAATGCTTCTGATGACACAGCTGGCCCAAGTGGCTGTGTAGTTGCACAAATGCCAAAATCTCATTAGAATGTAATACAGATTGACTTTCCTTCATTTCCACATGGGATAAGAACATGAACTGCCATGTTGGTACAACATAACTCCACCCTGAGTCACCCTTGGTGAGTCTAAGAAAGAGTCTTTGACCTCAAAATGCATCAGGAATCCATTCTCTGGAATGAGATGGGAATGATTACAGCCTAGTTATATAATTTTGTGCAGCTGGGTCTCTCAACCACAGCCTACCAACATGTGGAGTTGGATAATTCTGTGTTTTGTGATGTGGGGAGCTGTCCTGGGCCCTGTAAGGTGTTTTCCTGCATCTTCTATCCCCAGTCTCTACCCGTCAGATCCCAGTAGCAAGCAGATTCCCAGTCGTGATCACTGAATGTATCTCCAGACATTGCCACATGTCACCTGAGGGACAAAATTGCCCTTCACCCTTTGAGAACCACTGCCCTAGAGAGAAGGCCTATGAATTCTCACTTAAGGCACCAGGACTTTCCTGGCTCCTTTTTCTAAACCTATTTAACTCTTTCCTAAATCCCCTGAGAGAGACTGTATCCTTAGAATACTTTTGTTTGTTAAATTTAGTTATCTAGAATTGCTTTCCATTATAAGCAACCTAAAGAACCATGGTTTCATGTGACAGGCACTCAGTAAATATTTTTAGGGAGCAAACTCATCATGCAAAGATCCATTGGGAAGTCCAAGAGCAAACACAGTGAGTGTAAGGGTTTCAAGTCCCCCTAAAGAAAGGGGTCACCCGGGGTCTTACCATCACCCACAAACTGAAGCAAGGCCAGGTCGATCTGCCTCTTCCAAGGAGAGCCTTTCTGAAGGGCAATTCCATAACCAGTTGTGGCAAAGATGTACCCACTCCCAATGGTCACCAGCTTGCAGCCTTCATCCCTCCCGGCCTTGTAATTCAAGACTGCAGCATCGTAGATGAAAGCGTCCAGCTTCCTGAAATGACAAGAAACCAGGGGGTCATAGGGGTGGACAGGTAACACGTCGGGGCCCAGCTCCTGAGGCCTGATCCAGAAAGCATCACACACTTTATTTCATGCTGGCAATGATGACTCATGGCCTTTCCATCCCCTCGTCATAAAAGGATCTATTTTTAATGAGGAGATAAAAGCCAGAACCTTTTCTCTCCAACTTACAAGAGGCAGCTAAATAAAGACATGAAGGATTCATATACCCAAGTAAGTAAACAGTCGAGTTTGCTGGTTTGCTAAGTGTTTGTCCTTAGCACTCCCAATGATGGAGAACAGTGGCCTATTTAGAAAGGTTTGCATCAGAACAAAATAAACCACTAAGGGTCAGAAGAATTTGGTGGCAGTGTGTACGAAGGGGATAGGAACTAAATAGGAACGATATTTTTTCCTCCCAAAACAAATATGAGTGCTGCTTATTTATCATACAGAAATTATTGCAGAATTTTAAAAAATCCAAATAATATAGAAAAGTATTAAAATATAATTTAAAAACTACCCATAATTCTATAACTCAGATGCAACTTTTGTTAACATGTTAGTGAGCAGCCTTCCACATTTTTTAATGAGTATGCACAAACACTCATACACACACACCAGAGATTGGCAAGCTTTTTTCTATAAAGACAAGATAATAAATAGTTTAGGCTTTTTCTTATCGTGGGCCATGCAGTCTCTGTTGCAGCTATTAAATTCTACTGTTGTAGGGTGTTATGGCTGGACCGTGTCCACTCCCAAAATTCATACTGAAGTAGGATGAACTCCTAATCCACTGTGGCTGCTGTCCTTATAAATAGGAGAAATCTGGACATAGACAGGCACACAGGGAGAACGACATATGAATACTGGAGTTATGCTGTTACAAGCCAAGGAACTACCAAAAGCCAGGAGAGAGGCCAGGAATAGATCCCTCCCTGGAGCCTTCAGCAGGAGCGTGGTCCTGCAGATGCCCTGCTTTTGGACATCCAGCTTTCAGAGCTGTGAGAAAGGCACTCTGTTGTTTAAGTTACTCAGGTTGCATTCTTTTGTTATGGATGCCCTAGGAAACCAATACATAGCACCAAAGCAGCCACAGAGAATGTGTAAACAAATGAACTTTGCTCTGTTCCAAGAAAATGTTACTTAGAAAAACAGATTTGTCCATGGGCTGTAGTTTGCCAAACCTTGTTTTAAACCTGAAAATGTTATTATACCACACAAACTATTTCACAAATAGCTTTCTTCTCTCATTCCATACCTAGGGAGTGCATTTCCATATCAATGAACATAGCACATTTAAATTCTTTCTTTCTTTATTTATTTTTATTGGGGTATAAAATATGTGCAATAAAATGCTTGATGACTTTTTATATATGTATACATTATTGAAGTCACTATGCAGTTCAAAATGTGGAATGTTATCATCACCTTAGAAATCCCGTGCACACCCCAGAAAACAAGCATCAGGTAATCTCTCCAATGGCACAACTGTGCCTAAATATTATTAGTTGTTGTCATTATTTTCAGACGGAGTCTTACTTGGTCACCCAGGCTGGAATGCAGTGATGCGAACTCAGCTCACTGCAACCTCTACCTCCAGGATTCAAATAATTCTTGTGCCTCAGCCTCCAAAATAGCTGGGATTACAGGCACCCCCAACCACTCCTGGCTAATTTTTATGTTTTTAGTAGAGATGGGGTTTCACCATGTTGGCCACGCTGTTCTCAAACTCCTGACCTCAAGTGATCCACCTACCTCAGCTTCCCAATGTGCTGGGATCACAGGCGCTACCTATTATTAGATCCCTATCAATGTGCCTGCATATTGTTTCTAAATGTTAAAGTTATTTAACAAGGCCAAAATGATCACTGTGGAATGCAGGGATGAATGTCTCAACTCTAAAATGGGTAAGAAAACTAAATCGGAGATGACTCAACTTCATGACACTTTCTCAACTTTATTGCCTTTCTTTCTTTAACAAGAAAACATAAAACAGTGAAGCAAAGAAAAATAAAAACGGCAAAGAGAGGATGTGAAATGCTGCATCCTTTCAGAGACAGCTGCTGAAGGACTCCCTATGGGAACAAAACTGTGTGGTAGGTTTACAGCCGTGTTCTTCATTTTAATTTTTTTGTTTCTATAATGGTTTGAGGTGGTACAAAACTATAGGGCTTGTCTCATCCACAGAAACACTCTGAGGCTTTGATCTCAAGGGGGGCAGGATCAGAGATTTGGTTTTAACCTCTGAGAGTATTTAAAGCGAACCAGATCCAGCAAAAGAAGAAAAGAACTGGGCATTGATAGGCAAGAGTGATGGCAACCTAGAGCCGTCATCTATAACCTAGAGCTTGGCTTGCTGACAGCAAGTCAGAAGGAACAGCCAGCAATACTGAGACCTGCAGAAGTACAGGATGGAGAGTTATACAAGGTCAAAAGTAAATTGTGTATGTATCATGGGAGTAAGGTGTGTTACAGGAATACTGGAATAGTAGGTAGAAGGGATCTGAATTCTAGTCTAGGCTAGAATGATGGTGTAAGCTCGGGAAAGTCACTTTCTTCTTTTGGATTTCTGGTTTCTCCTGTGTGAGAGGAGATGGTCATTGTGGTCTTGCTGAGTTACTTGTTCAGCTGTGGCATTCTAAGATTCTGTGAGCCAATAGTCACCTTCTGTGGCTATTCATAGGGAAATTGAAACTCTGGATAACATATGTATCTTGAGGACTTAGGGCCATGGATAGTGTTGGTCTCTTGATGAAGCTGTGATGCTTGCAACGTCAATACTTCCAATATCTAAGTTGCCATGGAGATGTAGAAACTTGGTTTTGTCTAGACTTTCTAAGTCCCACCCAACTCTCGTCTCTCTATTCCTCAAAAAATAAACATAAACACACACACATGTACACATAGGCACATTCAAACATTAAGGCCTTCTGTTGGAATTCATGGGGTGAAACCTTGTCCCATCCTGCTAAGCCAGTGTGTACAAAGGTGCTGCTAGGTTGGAAATCTAAACATGTACCTAGCAACTATATGAGAGTTGTCCAGAAGCAGTTTAAGTTGGCATTTTGTGGGCAGGCATAGACAGCTGATCAGTACTATATTTCAAGACAGGTCTTTTTGAGCTGAGCAACATACAGCCATATGAGTACAAGGGAAAAAAAGGAAGTTTTCTTTGGGAACAAAGCTTGTAAAAGCACAGTGCTAGAAAGTCACAGGACAGCCGCAAAAGATGTGGTTGACTCTGACAAAGCAATGACACATTGGCAATTGGGGTGGGCTGGTGGTCATGCTCCCAGAGGTTTCTAACCATGGAGGGGCACAGATGGGCAAGCCCCCCATGGTCTGACTGTCATCTTAGGGCCATGTCAGAACCAAAGTGATGACAACACAGAAAGGAAACCATAGGGCCACATGAACTGGTTTCTAGATTCTAGAGAGCTGAGGCCTACACACAATGGCTACAGACATCTGCATGTTTAAAAACATCCTGGGGAATACACGGTCCCCTCTCAGAGAGATGGTCATTGTCTAAGATACCGTCTCATACCAGTCAGAATGTCTATTACTAAAAAGTCAAAAAATAACAGATGCTGGCAAGACTGTGGTGAAAAAGAAACAATTATACACTGTTGGTGGGAGTATAGACTAGTGCAACCATTGTGGAAAGCAGTATGGTGATTCCTCAAAGACCTAAAGACAAAAATGCCATTTGACCCAGAAATCCCATTACTGATATACCCAAAGGAATGTAAATCATTCTATTATAAAGATATGTGCACCTATATGGTCATTGCAGCACTATTCACGATAGTAAAGACATTGCATTAACCTAAATGACCACCAGGGATAGACTGGATAAAGAAAATGTGGTACATAGACACCATGGAATACAATGTAGCCCTAAAAAGAACAAGATCAAACTGATGCAGGAACAAACTATTAATTAAAACAATAACAAATGGAATCACAAAGAATCACTTTTAAAAACAGGGATGGCCATTGTCTGCAAAGTGCTTTACAAAATAATACCTAGCACTTTACAGACATCATCCCACTGGGGCCCCCCAAATGTCCAATAGCAAGATATTACTATTACTAATTATTATTTTCCTAATCTGTCTATGAACAGACAAGGTTCTGAGAGGCTAACGCAGCCTGGGCCTTGTTGGTGATATTTCCAGACTCTGTAGTATAAAACCCTCTAGGACAACACTGTCCAATAGAACTTTCTGCAATGCTGGAAATGCTCTGACCCTGTCTACCATGGATATTGAGTACTTGAAATATGGTTAGTGCAACTGAGTTGTAAATTTCATTTAAATTCATTATTTTAGATTTTAATGTAGGGGTCCCACGTGCCTATGGGCTATTGCAGTGGACTGTACAGCCCTGAATCTCTTGTGGTGAGCAAGGGGAAGGCTTAGGGAGCAGGACTCTGGGTCTCCCTTCTTGCTCTGACCCAAAAAGTCTACTTTTGATCTGTTTTCTATCGGAAAAAATAATTGTTTCTGTTGTTAAAAAGAAAAAATATCCCCTAAATCTCTGAGATTTGCCATTGGGGATTTTGGGCAAAACACTGTATTTCTGAGCCTCAGTTTTCTCTGTGAAAAATAGAGCCAACAGTATCTGCCCTTATAGGACTATTGGGAATAAAGTGATATTATATAAGTAAAGTATGTGTGCAATGCTCAGAACATAACAAATGCTCAAAACACACAAATGCATTTAATCGATTTCAGATTTTACAGCAAATGGGCTCACCAATTTTATAGACCCTATGGAGAAATCTAGTTCTGCATACTTTATGTACATTATTATCTATTTTTTTGCTCCTTCTCCCTGTGCAAGGATGGGCATACTACTGCTATGCCCATTGTCCAATGGAGAAACTGAGGCATTGAGCATTAAAGTGAATCAGCACCACTACCCAGTCTGTATGTGTCAAAAGTGGCATTGGGACCTATGCAGTCTGACACCAAAGGTCCCTGA